GAGAAAGATAGAGATAGAGACAGACAGAGAGAGAGAGAGAGAAATAGAGAAGAGAGAGAGAGAGAGAGAGCAACCAAAGGGCACTCACCTCCACAGAGAAGGTGCACTCGTCATCCCCAGAGGTCCTCTGGCCATGGGGAGTAGATATCCGTTGAAATAAATCCTCACACAGCTGTGGGGTCACAGAGAAAGGCACCAGAAACACGTGTTATTACCGTTTCACTTGACTAAAATTACATAAACAAAGTTCTACCTGCTCAGTACCTAGTTTTGAGAAAATATACATTAACCCTATCCCTATGCCCTGGGGTCATTTTGTAACACCCCCCACCCACCCCCAGGTTGTATTCTTCACATTTAAGAATACTTCTAGTATGAAGATCTCTTTGAAATTTTCAGTATTTCTCAAAAAATCATTTTGACAGACTGCTATGCTAAGCGTACGGATCGGATTAACAAGCAAATTTCCTCATCGGAAGGTGGTAGCACAGAGTTCCCCACGTCGTATGGATACGATAGTAAAACACGATGTACAGATATGGTTAAAAATTTTGAATTTCACATGTAAAGCTTTATCAAATGTAATTCTTTGAATATCTTGATAACGATTCGGAATAACCTCATGATTCTGACAGAGAAAACAGAACATTTGTTTCTGACCTCATGGTCTTAGTAACATCAAACGGCCAAAAATGTCAGATGATAAGATAGCAACTTGTCCACCTTGATGACGTTTCATTAATGTGGATATTATCATGTTTGTTGTTTTCCGTTACCTGTTTGTTACTTTTTTTTGCTGTCATTCTTGCTCTTGCACTCACCACTTCTCTATTCGTGTGCAAACCACTCTCCTATTTTATTCTTCCTTTGGACCTCCTCTCCATCATCCTTTTCTTTTTCTTACACACAAATGAGAATACATGAGAATACATTCTAAGATAGGAAGGATAACTTTGTCCAGGTCTCATTCTATTTTTTCTTGAAAAAGCAATAATGCATACAATACCAAGCCCAAAGTTTTAAAACGAATACATAAAAAACAAACAATTAAGCCTTTAATTTTAAAAAGAATAGATAAAAAAAGTAACAAACATCTGCTGTTTAAAACAAACACAGCAACCCGTGTTCATTATAAAAGCACTGGCTCAGATGCTAGAAAAGGAGAGAATGTAACACGCTTTTAACACACGAGTGACACGTACAGGAGGATGTAACACACTTTTAGCTCATAAGTGTCACATACAGGAGAATGTAACATTTTTAGCACATGAGTGACACGTACAAGAGAATGTGACACACTTTTAGCATGTGAGTGACATGTACAGGAGAATGTAACACACTTAGCACACGAGTAACACACCTGCGGTATGATACCCTTCTGTCCAGCCTCGTTCTTGCCCATCATGGTGTAACTCTTGCCAGCTCCGGTCTGGCCATAGGCAAAGATACAAACATTGTAGCCCTCAAAGGCATGGTCCAGCATCTCAAGACCAATGTCATCATACACCCGCTTCTGTCCGGCAAACTTGTAATCTTCCGGCTGCGGATAACACAGAATGTACCTTCAGTCAATTTGTGACCAGTTTCAATTTTAAGCCTGGACAAACACACACACACACAAACAAAAACCACTAAAAAACAAACTTTCAACAGTCTAAAAAGGTTGTCCCCAAAAGTCCTTTTTTTGTTGTTTGTTTTAATACACATTTAACAGCACTTCCAACACAATAAGGTCATATACAAGCCAAAGATTAGAGTTGTCACAAGAGAGTAACAAACACAAAAAAGAAGAGGGAGAGATAAGAGCAATAGATGCCTCTTAGAAAAAAAGGAGCAAATCATACCAGATCACCCGCCAACCACCCACTAATGACACTGAACTGTTACTATCCTGAGTGGTATGTGTGGTGACCCTTCTATCTGACCTGTGCTTTCTTCCCTTACCCAAGTATTTTATTGTTTAAGTGAGAGTTTTAAGGCACTAACAACACAACTGAGTCATATAAGTGCCGAAGATTAGAGGTGTTACAAGAGAGAAACAAACACAAAAAAAGGAGGAGGACTAATTAGGACAATGTATGTTTGATTGGAACAAAGGAACAAACCACACCAAGGCACCCGCCACCCACCCACTCACCGAGGTATGAGACCAGTAGGAGTGATCAAAGTTGAAGCTCTTTGCCTGTGCCTCCTTGGGCCCTGCTTTGGGATTGCGTATAGCTGAAACAGACAGGACATAAGTTATGTTTTAGTTTTATGAACAGTTTTATGGCACGTGCAACACAAATAGGTCATATAAGAGCTAAAGACCAGAGAAGTCACTAGAAAGTTACATTTAAAAAAAAGAAGAAAGAAAGGTAAGTATGATAGATGAATGTTTGATAGGAAAGAAGGAGCAAACCACACTGAGCACTCTCAACCACCCACTAAGACATAAGTGACAGTAATGGCTATACTTTAAAATGGAGAGAATTGCATTGGTGCTATAATGCTAATTTAGTGCAGGGAAATACAAGGACAGAAAAAAGATCAACCTTCCAGTGGCTTCCTCCAAAAACCAACACAGTATGGAGAGGGGTGAAAATTGTAATTACAATGCATTGAATCTCTTTTTTCCAAAGAAAATAATGAAGCTCCCAGCTCAGACTCTTTTTTAGTAAGAGTTTTACAGCACTTGCAATGCAATAATAATATGGTCATATAAGTGCAAAAGATTAGAGGTGTTACAGTAGAGTAACAAACACACAAAAGAAGGAAGAGAGATAAGGACGATACATGTTTGAAAGGTAAGAAGGAGCAAAAAACACAAGAGCACCCACCAACCACCCACCTCTCAGCTCAGACTCTCAAGGTTAAACAAATACATATAGACAAAGAAAAGAAGGAGGAGAGATAAGGACCATACATATTTGACAAGATAAAAGGAGCAAACAACACCAGAGCACCCTCGAACCACCCACTGCATTTGATCGCACGTTGCTCTTTTAGTTTAGTTTTAGTAAGAGTTTTACAGCACATGCAACACAATAAGGCCCTATAAGGGCTGAAAGTTTGAGTGATTCCAAGAGAATAACAAACAAAAAAGGAGGAGGAGGATGGAAAAGGACAGCAGATGTTTGACAGGACAGAGGGAGCAAAGCACACCAGAGCACCTGCCAAACACCCACATTGCAAGTTGATACTTTACTGCAAACAGATTATGTCAGGTCAATAGAAGTATAAAAGAAAAAAGAAGACTCGTCTGTGTACCAACTCATCACCCAGACAGACAAACACACACACATATATGGATAGATGAACAGACAGAAAGACAAACAGACAGACAGACAGACGGACAGACAGACAGACGGACAGACAGACAGACAGACGGACGGACAGACAGACAGACAGACAGACAGACAGACAGACAGACAGACAGACAGACAGACAGATGGAACACACACTCACAGTAACCACACAGTCAGACAGACCAAGAATTTCTTTCTCACTTTTGATTATATTAATTTATTCATTGTGAATCTGCTAACAAGAGAGCAACAGGACCTAGTGACTAAATTACAGGTAGAGAGCATCTTGGCTTAGACACAAACATATTATAGAAAACTGGAGAAAAAAAAAATTTAAAAAAATAAAAATTGCTACTTATTTACCCAAGATAAAAGCAAAGAAAAAAAGTAAACTACTCCTGACATAGAATAAGAAAAGAGAAGGGTGGAAAATACAAACAAGAACAAAAAATGACTTGAGACAGATATAAAAAAAACCCCACTAAAAGATGACTTACCGACACAGTTCAGTTTTTGGTTGCTAGTTTCAGTAAGAGTTTTACTGCGACATATTATATTAGTCATATATAAGTGCCAAAGATTAGAGGCGTTACTGTAGAGGGAAGAGAGATAAGGATGATAGATGTTTGATAGGAAAGAAGGAATATGTGTCACAACGCGGTGGAATTAGGCGCTCGTCAACTTTTGGGCATGAGGAGTTTTTAGTACCATTTGAAAGATTGTTCATTTGCCTTACTTTCAACAACAAAAATACCCAACTATCGAGTATGGAAGTCGAGAAATTTGTGATTGAACGAGGAGGGATCACCTGGTTTCAGTAGTAAATTAGCAAGAAAATGGCTGCCAAAGTTTGCTAACATCAACAGCTTGAGAGTCCTTGAAAACTGAAAAATTACATATTATATATTTTGTACCTTTAATCAACGTTTTTCAGCAGAATTTACATGGAAATGTGTTTCTATATATGGATATAAAAGGTGTTGAGCGAAAAAACAAAAATTCAATAAAAATTCTCAAACTGGTAGAAAAATGCCTGTTTCTTCTATTTCATTATTTTGATGTGCGCCTGATTTCACCATGATGCCTCACATATACCATACCAGGGCAACCGCCAATCATCCACTTATCTGAGACAGAAAAAAAAATTTTAAAACAAAAAAAGAAAGTAAAAAAACCCAACTTGTCACAGATAAGAACAATGGGGGAGAAAACTGACTTACTGGTCGTATTCCCATCCATCTCTATGATACATTCAGCATCTTTGCTGATTTCCCGGTTGTTGAAGGGTCGAACCCTCACCGCAACCTTCACAGAAGACATGTTGACTGCCAGAAAAAAACACAGCCGATGAATTAGGAGAAACAAAATGACAGATGAGGAAGTCAAACATTTTTATTCCAATCAATATTAGACAGATAACGATTTAAGAGGCTAAAAATGTCAATCATATAAAAAGCCTGGGAGTCTTCCTACTAAGCCCAAAGTTCATCCTTAGACTGACCAAAGTGATATTTTTTCTATTGTTCCTCAAAAAATGTGTTTTTCCAGTCTTGATTCCTTTAAAATTATATAAGAAGATCATTTCAAAAGCAATAACATTACAACATAAGTTTAGTTATTTAATTTAAAAATTACAGAAAATCAGTAATAGCATACAACATTTCTGTCTTACATCCTCCAATCAATGATGTTATGCACTTCTTGCATAGCTGATTTCTTGAAAATTTTTCAGCACCCAAATAAATAACCTTCTGATTTAAATGATAAGAGAATACATCAACGATTTACCTTCGGTACTTTTAAACTACATGCTGACATCAGATTTTTATTGAGGACTTGCAAACTGACCACGGCAATGGTTACAGCACAAATAAGTTTACCTATGTCTTCGAGTTATGCAACTTATAAGATACCATACAGCAGACATTTTCTACTCAGATCCTTCAACAGCAAAAAAAAGCCCTTCCCGAGCCCTGTTTGACCCGCTTTGACATGTAACACAAAATTAATGATAAAAGTGATCTCTTGAACACAGAATTTTGCACAGTTTGACTGCAGCTTTTTTTCATCAGAGACAACTTTGCCTATGAGAAAGCATTTTAAAAAATAAAAATATGGCACTAACATAAACATTTTATATCGATACCCCTGTTAAAGAACTACACTAAAACTAAAAGACTACAAAACATTTTTGTAATATTCTGGAAGCACCCTATCATTGTTGTCATATCCACTGGCAATAGGCATGATTTGTTAAAAGAGAGCTACGAAAAGTAGCTCTTGGAAAATCTTGTGGACCTCCATGGGAATCAAACCCAGAACCTCTGGCCTAAAAAGCGAGCATTGCTGACCACGTTTTGAACTGTCAATTCTTCTATTCCACGTCTGCCGATTACTTTGTAAACTTTTGCATCAAGGTAAAGTAATTTGGAAAAAAAGACTGAAAGGCCTTTCAAAGAATACGAGATTCTATCCTGCCTTAACAGACGAGGAAACCACTGTGGTGACTTTCATGAAATTTCCTAACAATTAAGTCGGATGACTATCATATTATGAAACTTATCTACCATTATGTCATAAGCTCTTAAAACAATAATCTTTTAGAAAAACTTACTTGAGATAACGTTGTCAGCACCAGTAAAACAATAAGCTTTTCTTGTCAACTATATGTATGTACAGGGTTAACTTGGCATGTGGAAGTCCATGGTGTTGAGATCAGGCCTAGCTGAATTCTAAGCCACACATATCTGGTCAAGTCTGAAAATACAAAGGAGACAATATTACAGACCTAAAATCAGAGTAGTCTGGATTTTAAAAAATCTTGTTCTTAAATTTGATAGTACATTTAACATCACAAAGACAAGTAACTGTACATGTAATTGTAAAATTACACCCCCATTGTCAAAAAATAGATCATTTAGGAAGCAGGCTGCTTCAAACTGGTGATACAGAATCCCACCAGACAGACAGAGACACTAGATTTTTTTTCTTAATTCCTCACTCGGGAATCGAACTCACATCTTGCTTGTGCTATGGCAAAGAGCCTTACCACTACACTGCAGACACCACAGCACTGTATCTCACAATGCTTACATATTGCATTGATAAATGTGGCTGTTTTCTTTAGCTGTTCTATGTGCAGTGTTTATAAATGCTCAAAAGCAAAGGAGTTCCACCTCAGCATGTATCAGAAACATAGCAGAATCCACTCTCAGCGACAATCCTCAAAAGTGTTTTCACTTAGCGATCTGTTTTCTCTATATTGCAATTTAGACAAAGATTGTTCCAAGTGAAAGTCTTCTATGTAACTGACATTGAGGTCTTTTCAACCATAGCGATGGCTCGGGGGGGGTCTAAGAAAATTTCTTCAGTATGGGGGGCGGGGGGGGGGGGGGGAAGTGCTTATGGCTATGGCTGTTTTCATGCATATTAAAAGAGATTCCAACTCAACCAATTCACAGGTACCATTGAAAAAGAGAATAAGAAGATTTTCACTTTGAAGTACCATAATGTATATATTTGAGGCATTTTTAAAGTTTTCGAAGAAATTTTTAGAGACTCAACAACAGAATTAAACAAAAACAATTCTCTGCTATCAGCTTTAGTAGAATATATACTCAACTAGCATTTCGCACTTGACGAATAAGAGCTTTTGTTTGAAAATGTTCATAAAGATTTTTCTAACCGAGGAAATGAGCCCTAATAATAGAACTGATATAATAATCATTAATTATTCATTATTATTACTATCCTTATTTTGAAACAGAGTATATTTATGAGTACAGAGCCACTGTGTTCCAATAGGCACACGGGCAATGAGAAATAATTACAATCAGCCCAAACATCAGGGAAGCTCAAGACCAAGAGTATGAGCCCACATTACAAACAGCAACTAGGTGACAACAACACCATCCCTAACGCCTAGCACTTCATAAACATTCCACTTCAACACCAATTAAAAAAGATCCTGACTAAGAAATTCGTTCCAGAGAAACAGGACAGTGATAAAACACGTAGAAATATGTCACAATAGGCATCTCATTCCTTACAGGCTTCCTGGCCAGAATGGAATAATCAGTATTCTTCTATCCAGTAGAAACGCCTCAATATGACACTCCAATTGGTCTGTTACCAGCAAATGCCTGGTCATAAAACTACTAGACGTCTGTCTGAGGGGGCAATGCCCTGACATAAATTGTTCAACTTGTTCTAACTGGGTTTAATGCCTTGAAACTCAACATAATAATGAAACTCCTCCGTCAAGCGGAAATGCCTCAACATAATGCAGCCAAAATGCATTCGCTGACGTCAGACTTACGTAATGGCCGCCGTTTTGCGAGGAAGCGACAAAAACAACAAGTCCCACAACACAGCGGTCTGTAGTGTAGAAAAACCGTACAGAAAATCCTCCACCCCCTTCTTCAACAGACAGAAAACAACAACCTCTACCCGCCCTTTCACGGACTAGATCAGGCCTCGTGAGAGCTGGTTCGGGGTGTCTACAGATGTAGATATACAGGGACGCGACTACAGTGAGCGCTGCCAATGATGAGATGACTCACCACGATCACACAGAGCAGAGGCTCAGGGAGCGCGGGTCCGAGGTGAGCAAGGGACAGGCTGGGTCCACGGACACCAGGCCCACCAGCCGCGAGCCAACTGGACACTCGGGACAATCTACCCGAATTATAATATTACAATAACAACACACCCAAGCAGAACTGGATAATAATAATAACAGCAATGATAATAATCACGTAGTATTCTCACTCCGACTTGGTGGCTGGGTGTAGAGAAGAGTCGAAGGCGTCGTGTGACGAGATGCGATTCACAATGGTGGAGGAGTCCGTAAGAACCAAAGGATCGACGTTTGATCACTGGCAGTAGGAGAAAGAGGGGGAGGGGGACGAGAAGCGAGGAGGAGGACAGAGACGGCGGAGGCTGGGAGAGTGTGTGTCTCTGTGTGGGTGAGGGTGAGGGTTTATGTGAGGGCTTATGTGTGTGTGTGAGTGAGTGATGCCAGAGCGTCTCCGCAGCCAGCCCTCAATATCGAGCGAGCGTTCGATAAGCGAGGAGTGTGGTGGTGGTGGTGGTGGAGACAACAGTGGGAGAGAGAGAAAGAGAGAGAGAGAGAGAGAGAG